TTGTTTGAATAATAATGTATGGGTGACATATATTAATAATATCAAACTGAAATGATATGATATTGTAAATGAAATATTTCATAAAATGATTCTTGAATTAATCGTAATTCATTAGTAACTGAAACTAATATATTTAAACGATTATGTGAATTTAAATCAATAATTGATTATAATACTATAAAATATGAAATATTAGGGTTTGCAGAAAGTAGTTTATATGAATTATTGATAATAATTGATTTGCGATATTTACAAATGCATATTTTAAATAATATTTGCGTAGAAAAACGATGTTACACAATGTGTTTATTGACTTTTAAATTGACAATGCACGAAAAATGTATAATAAGAACGAACATATTTTTTAAAACTTTTTAGATTTGCAAATTTATTACAGCCATTTGCTAAAAGGACCTCCGAAGTCGCAGAAAACTAACAAGAGTCTTTTAGTCTGTAATTGGCCTCTTTATGAATATTTTTAAACATTATTATTAAATAAGATAATAATTCTTATTATTACAATGCAATTTCTAAATAAAGCATTTTTATTATTTCATTAACCTAATTGCTTAATTATTTTTACCTCATCGTCGTAAAATTAGATCGAGTACTAGTTTTTTTATGCAAATTTTTTTATCCAAACGCAAACATAATTAAATTCTTATATTTCTATTGTTTGATTACGCATTAGATATATATAATTTTCCTAATATATTTACATCATTAAAATAGTAATGGATCTTTGTGACACGGTTGAACTTTCTTTTTTGGAATGTATATTAGTAGTATCCTTGAGCAAATATAAAATGATATAAGATATTTTTCTCGTCAACTGCACCCTCTGAATGATGCAACATGCGCCGCCGCAATAATGCATTTCCCTACCTAAATAAAAAAACTATAACTGCGCTTATCAAAGACGGCGCATACTGTTTTTTATCTTGATAAGCTCTGGAACAAAACGACGTCACGCTTTGTCTTTCTATATATTATAAAATAATAGTGTAAAGCCACTTGGATAAATAAGTCGTCTTTTAAATGCTTTTTAAATCCAGAATATCATAATCTCTCGACGATGAAGAAACAGATTCTCGATTACAAACTGTCATTGTGTCGTTAAAGAATTAATTAATTATCATAACCAAGATCATTAATATATGAATATTGTATTTATTTTTAATAATGAGATAATTAAAAAGATCTATGGATCGCTTTGATTCATCGCATTGAATATCCTCAAATTGTTACATCAAGCGATGACAAAAAATATATGTGTAACAACTGAATTAGGATATCATAAGACATAATTATATACTTTCTAATTATTTCTTATTTGAATTATAAAAATTTAAAACTCTAATAATACAATAAAAATTTAAAATCCACAAAAGCATAAATGCATTAAGAAACTTTTATTAACATAATTTAAAATAATGTAGAAAAATTGCAATTTCTTCTCAGAAATTAATAAAAAAATTATTTACAACGCTATTTTTAAATGACATATTTTTTTCTTTTTATAGTCCCGGCAAATTATGTTCTTAAAGTAACAGAATAAATCTGCATGTACTACATGTGTATTGACATCAAAATGAAAATTTTTATGGTTTTTGAAAAGAACATAACTCGAGCTATATACCGTTGTCATATATACAATAGATTTCATAAATATATATTAAGTTTTATGATGATTCCTTGTTTACAAAAATAATGTACATTATTAATAAAAGATGTAGAATATTGTTAAATATTTTGTCCTACGTCATCGGAAATGTAATATTTTTTCTGTAATAAATTCCTAGAGTATATTAATAATAAACTCTTTATTATATAAATTGTAATATATCGATTATTCAATATTCATTAATAAGAAAAGTAGTGACTTATTGTTATATAATGAAAAGTCATCGGTTCATCTTTAATTCTATATTATTTCAAATCTTTCACATATAAGCAAATGCACATGCAAATTAAATTACTTACCTCTTATCGCTTCACTGGCCGTATCGCTCTCACATTTAAATACAAAGTTTTTGTTAAGTAACATTCATTTCAATAATTTCGAAAACAAAAAGAAATATAAAATATTATTCAACGACTATGTTTATCATTTTTATTCAAAAAGAATTCAATTATATGTAGTCATGATTTATTTTTAATAAATTTAAATACACGAGTCATTGATACACAATTGAAAATTGATAACGAAATATTATAAAAAACTTAATTAAGTAATAAGTATAAAATACTTAATTAAGTATTAAGTGATGATCAATATTACAAAATAGGCAATATCAAGCACACACACGTACATAAAATAACTTTTTATATTAGTATAATTGGCCATTATTTGTGCGTGTAGTTCATTCATACACTATTTTATTATAATACATCGCATGCATTTTAGATATTAATGAAGAAAATGATTGACAAATTTATTATAATATATATATATATATATATATATATATATATATATATGCGTGTGCGTGTACGTGTGCGTGCGTGCGTGTGAGTGTGGGTGTATGCCATAAACAAATGATATATAATACCTATAGTGATCATCGTTTCTCTTTAATATTAATAATTGCCATTATTATATTATATCTGTAGTTTAATAACATTAAAATGTAAAACAAATAATATTAATAAATCAATAATTTATGTGAGAAAAGATATTTTCAATTTATTATAATATTCGACAAATAATCGATATGCGTTATAATTAATGATTAATGCTACAAAAAGAAAAAAAGAACATTAATGATTAATGCTACAAAAAGAGAAGAAGAAGAAGAAGAAGAAGAAGAAGAAGAAGAAGAATGAAGCATATTATTTTTTAATTCATTCTATTTCAAAGTTTTACAAAACGCTTATAATTTATCAGAAATAGAAAAAAAATTTTCTCACTCGCAAGCTTTTTATTTGAACAAAATGTATACTTTAATTAATTTTATCATAAAATATCGATACAGAAACGATAGATTCGAACGCACGATAATCGTGTAATCTTACCGCGTTCCGAAATTATTTTCACACCGACGATACTGACAATTGGCTCGTTCACGAGAGAACAGCCAGAGGGAAAACAAAAACTGGTTCGTACAACGAATATATTACATATTTTACAGAATTACGCTTGTTTGGTAGAGGTTATTTTTTTTTCTCTCTTCACTTTTTTTCATTTTTTTCTTCCCTTTTTATATTCTCCAGTCCGCTATCCGAGAAGAAAGAATAGTCAGGATTTTCGTGTAGAAGGTACGGAAGAAATCATATTTAAGGATATTTCTTGGGCGCTTTATAAAGGTGTTCCGGAGAATTGCCGCGTTAGCTCAGTGCACCGCGACACGCCGCTTACTCGTGTATACTTTTATCCCCATATCGTAGGCGGCAATACGTCATCCGCTCCATAAAAATGTAATAGCCCCTTAAATAACCATGCGTGCACCATATTTATGTCGCGTTCTCTTCCGTTCTTCTTCTCTTTCTTTGCCTCGTTGCTGCTCCCTCCATCTACCAACTCCAACTGGCCGACACTGTTTTGTGGTCTCGCGTGTACACATAGTATAACAACACTACATTGTAAACGTAATATTCCTAAAATCTTTTTAATATATTTTTCAAATCGAACATATTCGCTACTGATTATTGCTCATTGCTGTCTTAAGCAAAAAAAAAAAAAAAAAAAAAAAAAAAATAATATATGACATTTTATTGATCCGCGTGCTCGCGCGTACATTGAATTATTTCAAATCGCTCAAATTGCTTTCGAATAACATCACTCTTTGGACTTTCTCCTCAATTTATATGTGCTCATTCATAGATATTCAATAGTTTTTTTCCCTTCAAGGGACTTGTATCAATATGCGTATACGCATACACATATAATGAAAGAGAAAAAAAAAAAACAATTTCCATACTTTTTCAAATGTTACTGCAGTCCAGTAAATTTGAACGCTATTTATGCATAATTATTGCAGAGAATAAGATGATCTGCTGAAATACAATTACAGTTGGAGATAAATTGACTACATTACGGTTCTCGAATTTACGTATTTTATAAAATTTTCTTAAAAGTTAACTGCCTGAAGCAGCGGAAGTCTGGGATTGCGAATATAGAATAAAAATTCCAAAATTCGTACTGGCGGGTACAAGTTGGCACAGTTTAATACACATTATTTAAGCTTTGCTTAAACGCATAAAATGTTAATAACAAGAAGGATAATAATGACGACGACGACGACGACGACGACGACGACGACGACGACGAGGAGGACGACGATAGTGATGACGATGAAGATGATAATAATAATAATAATAATAATAATAATAATAATAATAATAATAATAATAATAACAATAATAATAATAACAATAACAATAATAATGATAATAATAATTATTATAATAATGATAATATGTCATATACCGTATAAAGTAGATTGTAGTGTGCGTGAATGCCCTAATAATAATTACACACATACAAAAATTAAAAATACATAGCCCTTGGAGTACATGGCAAATTGTGCACCGTAAAACAAGCACGTCACAACAAGCATTAATAACGTGCGTAAATTTTATTTACCTCTTATAAAAACATATAATTATATGTATTGTACGTGTATACGGGCTCTCGCGCGTCTTCGCGCACGCCTGTATAATGTGCCTGAAAATAAATTGTATGAACGAAATATGCTAGCGTGGAAAAGTAAGGCGTAGAGTGAAATGTGGGACGGACGGCTTTTCCCGTAATGTCCCGTAAAGGGATGAGAGTATCGGCCGATGTCGAGGACGTACTATAAACAAATACAGCCGAGGTGAAATGAACAAGGAAAGGAACTCGCTTTGGCCGCTGATACGGCCTACGAGACTACTTTCGTCCAATGGCGTCCCATAGCCGCGCAATTATCAATGCAATGGGATGGCACACCGATGCGTATATTATGCACTCGTTAAGATGTCAAGTGCAGCGCGAATTTCGAGCCACTTGGAGCGCAGCGCACACAACGGGCGCCTTAAGCACCGTAGCCCAACGAATTGTCAACATGAGACGCGTTATCGTGATCAGGGCTGTCATCGTCTTCCGGATGGAAGAGCGCGTCGTTCAGGCGCCTCAGTTTACTAAAGAACGCCTTTAGTAATTTTGATTTGGCCTCTTTCGCTGGCGGATGATAAATAAGGACGTGCTGATGAAATGGAGCCTGAAGTTCGATTCTCGGAGATTTATTAGCCTCTTTGTACTGCTGTGTCTTTTCTAATGAAAAAAAAAATAATAAATAAATAAATAAATAAAAACAAGAATGCACACGATGATCGTACGAGGGAACGAGGTTGTTTTTTGTTGTCGAGGATCAAAGTATCACGGTCAGTCGATCAAATAACCGAGTTCCTAATATCGCGATCTTCCTAACGCGAATCAATGCCAAGGGACTGCGAATATTTGGAAAAAGAGCGCGGCCCACTGTCCTTAGTGCGATTATATCGTATGTTTATCTCCATGAAAATTCTAAGCCGAGATTGGTATTGTTTAAATCGTAGTGAAATTGTTAGGAAGGATATGAAAAAAGTATGCGCGCGTAGTTAAACAAGTAGAAAGCGCCGCAGCTGCGCTCAACTTTATGAGTACCACATGCGCTGCTATAAGGCAAGGCAATCAATATAAGCGAACAAGAAAATTGACAGATATTATATTATAATTTATGTATCAGGCCATCTACCACCTCGGCTAATCTACCTCTAAATCAATAATAATTTTTAATAAATAATAAATCATCCAATCAAATACTTTCTCCCGTACGTGTGCACCGGCTGTGCGAGGCCTGCATACTTTATGTTTCTCATATATTAACGTAATTATTAACTGGATAATTTTTCGTTCCGAGTGAGCCGTAAGTGCGAGCATCGGACATTGAGGTTTTTTCAATCACGGCCGTTAACGTTAACGCGCCCCACGGGGCCGCTTAAATTCACGAGAGTAAAAGCGAATTCCAACGAATGAGCGCTATTCCAATAAATCCCCGAGCGAAGCGTATCATCGGTCGAACGCGATCGATGAATCCGCCCATAAGGAACTTGTCCAAATTTTGGAAATTCGGCAATCGGAGTTATCTATAGACGGAGAGAGAGAGAGAGAGAGAGAGAGAGAGAGGGGAGAGAGAGAAAGAGTGAGAATGAGGACGAGCCAAGGGAGGAGCACGGGCCGACTCACCGGATATCTCGCTGTTGTCCCAGTGCTGGTCCTGGCTCGGCCAGGAGGTCGTCGGCGTCCCGGGTAATACGATCTCCGGCTCTTGGTAGTTCCCACGTCCGTGCCAGTCGAGCGAATGGCTCAAGCCGCTGCAAGGCACAACAAGCCGATTAGGGAATGGACGATAAGGAGGCGAGTAACGTTGCGTACCTATGCAGCGACGACAAGTCGATCTCGATCTTGTGGAGCGGGGGCAGGGGCGGGGGAAGGGGCAGAGGCCTCGGCAGTAACAGCGGCAACGGATAGTAGTGCATGTGGTAATGGTGGATCGGATTCGCATGCTTGTGGCTTCCAAATTTCTCCAGGATGTTCATCAGCAGGCGATGTGGCCTTCGGGAGAAATTAATGTGAGCCTTCGACAAGTCGGGCATTAATCGCCGCTACTTCCCCCCCCCCTTACCGTCGAGCGTTCGAATTAATGAGGAATAATTAAGAGCAGTTGGACGTTAAGAATTTTTTCATACAAAACAATTTCACTCAGCGATTTCTTCCAGCTTTCGGTGGACAATTTAATCATTTATGGATTCTGTGACATTTTACATTGAGGAATCCCCAATTATTGCTATTGATTTTTTTTTTTTTTTTTTTTTTTTTTTTTTTTTTTTAAAGCTAATAATGACGCACTGGAAAACCAGTCTATCGGCAGGTCATATTAAAATGTTGAGCGTTGGTTTATTGTCGAATCGATAACATTAATATTGAATATTAATAAATTTATATTAACTTTAGTTTCAGATGATACGTTAGAATGTAGAGTTAATGCAATGACAATAGGATACGTTTTACCGTAATTAACTGACTACATCAATGATTTACGACGTCGCTATATTTGAATGCTGAATAGGTAATCTGTAATTTGTATAGTATAAGCTTTGGAAAATTATTACGCATGTTAATTTCTATTAAATACATCGGCTTTCGAACAAATTTCTTATTCTTCAAATTTTCTTTACTTTCTACGTTTTCTTTTATTAAAAAACAAAAAAAAAATCTAAGTGTGTTTAGAAATTTAAACACTCAACTATGTGGTTACATATATATATATATATATATATATATATATATATATACTTTACAAACCCCAAACTTCTATATTTTATTATTTTGTAGAACCTTGTACGAATCCAGTTGTAATATAACTTTATTTCGGTATGAATAATAACGATAGAGCGGATAATTAAAATTCTCAAAAATATTACACGGAATTTGAAATATTATTATGAAGGAAAATATGTTATAAAACCTTACCTCTTTCTTTATTTAATTGGATAAATTGAAAGATTTGCCGGTTGACTTTGCTGAATAAGCAATATTACGAGTGCATAAATGAGATACTTCGATGACATCGTCAAGACTTTATTACTAACATTTTTTAAACGTCTTTAAAATTATGCAATTATTCTCATATCATTCGATTATTATTTTAATATTTGCGCTGCAATTGGCCAAAGTTACTTCGACAGTGATGTTTGTCTTTTATATTCTGAGGTTATTATTTATGTGCTTTGCTCGCGTTTACTCGTTGTCTTATAACGAAAGCCAGCCAACTTCAAAATTGCCTTAATTATCCAATATATTCTCTCTAATTCAAAATGTTATCGCTCATCAGTTATATTTTCTAATTATAATATGTATAAATAGAAAAATTAAAATTCATGCAAGTCTAATATATTTTTTCTTAAATAAACTGACTGAAACATGCCTAAAAAAATATTCAAGATACAGAGATTTAATTTGTTTATTGTGCCTATTAATGTTGTAGGGTTAAAATAATTTTATTTAATTTAATTTAATTTAATTTAGTTCAACACCATCGAATATCTTAGAATTTATATTTTATAGGGGGAATAAAAATCTAAATCTTTACATGTAGTTATTATTTTTTTTTTTTTTTCGAGTTAAAAATGTAATCGCAATGTCAATTACGCATTTTAATATAAAAAATGTAATGTAGAAATTCATGTAAATAAGAAATTTTTTTTAAACCAATGGCAATAGTGCCTTGAAATATCAATAGAAACTTTAATTCAAATATCACAATTCATGAAAATGATATCGAAACATTAAAATGCAATAGGAAGATTAAAATAACCTTACACATTTCTAACATATACCATCACAATTATGATATTTTATGACAATTATAATATTAGTCAAATTTATAGATTCATATTGGAGATTAATAGATGTACTGTATATTTAGATTTGAAAAAGTATTTTAAAGCCATAGTTATTATCAAAAATGTTGAGCTTAAAATGGCAAAATATAATATTCAAAAGAATAGGCAATAATTTAGTATTTAATATTGCTTGGTTAAAGAAAAATAATAAAATGTCTAATATGCTTTATGCGTCATTAATAATTAGATATTCTATAATGCAGAAAAATGATACGAAATTGCGAATTTTGCTATTAATATTAATAAACGAAAGACACATCTTATCAAAATAATCTCAGAATTATCTGCTATTTTGATAAATGAATGACATTCATTAAGTTGCTTCAGAAAATCTGAAATCGTAAATCCTGGTTTAAAGTCCGTTTGCTCATGGGCTTAAAATAAGTTAAAATACAGACGTTCCGAAAGACGGTAATAATTAAGCCAGTATAAAAATGTACTGGTAAAATGATTAAATGGTAAAATTAATATTTAATGTAGGAAAGGAGCCATTCGCCCGTTTCGTGCAATCTGCCATGTCTGTGCGTGTTTCGATGGAATTAGATGGCCAGGTGGCGGCGAGGATGGGGGAGCAACAGAGAGAGAGAGAGAGATAGAGAGATAGATAGAGAGTTAGATAGATAGAGAGATAGAGAGATAGAGAGTTAGATAGATAGAGAGATAGAGAGATAGAGAGTTAGATAGATAGAGAGATAGAGAGATAGAGAGTTAGATAGATAGAGAGATAGAGAGATAGAGAGTTAGATAGATAGAGAGATAGAGAGATAGAGAGTTAGATAGATAGAGAGAGAAAGAGAGAGAGAGAGAGAGAGATAGTGTGATAGGGTGGGATAGGGAACGAGGGGGTCAGGGGGCAAGAGGAAGGGAGAGTGTGATTTAATCCTTCGATAAATGGCGTGGTAAACCGGCGCGAGTGCGGAGTGGCGGCGGATCTGTTCGAAAATTAATTCGCCATTAGCAGCAACAAAATCGGCCTTGGCAGGCGTATATATAGAACACATAATTTATAATCCCTCGAACATAATTCTCGGTCGATTATGAAGCGTCCTCCCCCCCCCCCCCCCCGCACACCCACACGCGCACTCGCGCCTCATTATGCACAAACTCAAAGTACCCCATAACCAACTGCTAGAAATTAGAATTTTAGACGGACCAGTGAATGCGCCTGAATCACAATCGTTCGGGTGCCCGTTGCGCACCAGCCGCTTTTTATAAAGAAACACGTTAAAATTTAGCTAAGATGTGTATTTATTTCATCGTAAAGCCATCGTGCTTTGACCCATTCGGCGTATCTCCGAATTTTATCCTCCTCGAGCGTACTTCACGTGTAACTGTGTAACTGTTCGAGTTTACCAAAAGCCAATGGATTATAATTCGAGCAAAAATTAATGGATCCGGAAAAATCAGAATCTATTAACATAGCGATAAACAATTTAATCATCCGTTTGGTAAAGATTTGTATATCACGAAGATTATAGATTACGATAAGCAACGTTAAATTTCTAAATATCGAATACGGTATGTGAGAAAAATTATTATTGAATAACGAAGGATTGAGATTTAATTATTGGATAAGTAGTAAAGAGGAAATAGGCCCCAGCGCGCTTTTATTACTGTTACTTCTACTTTTTTCCCCGTTATTATCTCTCTAAACAAAATTACATCATATTGTACAAGAGATATAATATTTATCACCACAATTTTAATTTATAGCTCTTCAAAACTATACAGTGCCACTAAAATAATTTTATTAATTTATTAATAATAATTTAATACAAATTCTATGGCTACATTATGCCAAGTACTGAAATTACATAAATAATTTATATTAAATATTCCATTTGGAAATACCGTAAGCGAGCATACGCGTGCCATTTTCTAATTTTATATAGTAATTCATTATTCAAACAACCAATATATTCTATTAGGTTTTTAGAACAAACCTGAATGTCTCATTGAAAATAAACATATTTGAATAATAATGTTGCATCTCGATATGAAATATACATTTACTAGAAATGATTTTTCCAGTAAAGATTGAGAAATGAATCAAGTAAATATAAATAGTCTGCATTACTACAAAGTTCCTTCGACTCGCAATAGCTCGCAAATATGTGATTGAGATAAACAATTAACAAAGTCCAAGAGTAAATCTATTAATCAAAAATATATTCTAATCGCTAACTTATTTATATTCTCTTTTAAAAAAATTTCAATAATATCGTACTGTTTATCAATTGTTCGAAAATGCAATTCACACGACTCGAATGGGTAAAATTGATAATAATTTAATAATTTTCCATTTATTGAATGATGAAAATTGACCGACATCTACAAAGTTCGATATTTACAATAAAATAAAACAAATTATAAGCTGGGATTACAAATATATATTTTAATTATAGAAAAATAACTAGACAATACGCAAACATTAGGAAAATCATAGCTGAACTAAAAGAATATTCAAGAATAGACATTATTACAAACAATTTTTTTTTTTTTTTTTTTTTTTTTTTTTTTTCTTTTTTTTTTTCTTTTTTTTTTTTTTCTTTAACTTATTCGTATTAGTGAGTGTATTGAATATTTGAAAATGTATAAAAATGATAAAATACATGGAGCTCCAAAGTTTATACCTGATATTTATAATCAAGCAAGACTTACTGCGAGGACTAAGTAATAATATGTTTTTCTAAATTTACAATATTTCTAGATTAAATTATATATGATTACGTAAAAAGGAGGAAGTACGAGGAGAAGGACACGCAACTTTACTTGCCAGGGAATCGAACACGGGAACTTCCGTTTCTACGGCGGATGCTGACCCCAACTATACTTACCGATAAATAATTACTTATTTATTCAAGTCGTCCTTATAACATGTAAATGTAATGTAAAATCAGACACGTGTCTCTTGTCACATACGTGACAATGGTAAAAGCTGCATTTTGAAAAAGAAATTCTAAACTAATATTAGAAACTAACATTCACTTCGACTGTTTATTTATACTTTCTAAATATTTACTAAGAATAATAAAAATAAATATGAGTCCAAAGGTTTATTCGTTCATTCATTCGCCATAAATTTGTGTACATTGATCTATTCGATCAGATCTCTCTTCCATACGGACAAAATCTTTACAAATTTAACCGATTTATAATTTAAAAGACAAATTATAGACTGACAAAATGAATATGCAATTCCATTTAGTTCTCCATTTTTAACATTATGTGCTATTTATTAAAAATTCAAGGCAATAAAATAAACATTTGAAATTTCAGAGAACACTTTTTTTTTATAAAACTTTAATTATTAGAATTTCTAGGAATACGACGCCATGAATGTTATATTTTTTTTCTTTCTTTTTTTTTACAATTTGCAATAAAACACTAGAAAAAATAGAGCTTTAATTCTTGTATTCTCATTGATAAAATAAATTATGGAAATATAACTTTTACGATATTAATAGTATATATGTATTGGTAAATATTTTTATAAATAAGAAATATTAATAAGATAATATTAATCAAGTTGTACAAACTGCTTTAAATAATTAAATTATATTTATACGTATATTTTTTATAGAAAATTTTATTGTATTATAAATAGATATGATTAGAATCGAATTAAATTACCGATTGCGAAAGTTAATGAGTCAATTTATTAGTTCTATCAATTAGTTTCGTAGTCGGGGGGGGGGGGGGAAAAAGAATTATTAGCCGAAGAAATTTATTGGAGAAAAAACTTTTTTTTTGTCTTAAAGAAATGTAATATACTAAAGGGTATCATCGTTCAATTAATCAGAATCGAAAATATGAAATGTTATTATTCAGTAGATATTTCTTGAAATTGTAACTTTTACAAAAGAAATACTATTGTAAGACTCGTTAAAAAGACAAAAAGAAAAAATCAATATATTCTGATGAATCATTTAAGGTTGATTTGAATAATAATTTTCAAGACATTACACTTTATTATATACTACTTTATATAAAAAAATTAAATAAATAGTTGCAAAGTTTAATAATAAATTAGTATTTCGACTGTATAAAATGATATTTAAAATACTTAAATTCGCTTTTGATTATAAATAATGTACGCATATGTGTACTTATACAGAGTATTTAAAAGTAAATTTTACAAGTCTATCGATTTTTTCAAACATTAATTATTCATTTATACGCATATATGTGTACCTAGATAAATTATATATGAATTGCATGTGTATTGAAAATAGTCGATATAGTTGTAAAATTTACTATTATATTACCGGAAATTAATTTTTTTTAATTTTTTGAAAATAATAATGATTTTATCTATTATAGTATTATAAGATTGTTTAATTTTTCGTCGTATTGTCGAATATACTGTGTTAGTGATTATATTTGTATAGGAAACATCAACGTTATGTCGATATTGTACTTATATACCATTGCGAGAAAAAAAAAAGTAATATTTTATTTTTATAACATTAAAAAGGTTAGTAAGAGTAAGTATTTTGGCAATTAACAAGTATTTAAACAATCGTGTAAAACAATATGATTGTTTAAAATAACTTTTTTTTTTATTATAATCCTCAAATTCTACAAAATTTCATGATGAATATTTAAGTTGTCTTTTTTTTAATCTCGAAAAGTTGAATTATTTTCGTGCTAATGAAAGTGGGAGAAACTTGTTAACTTTTTTTAAAAAAAAAAAAAAAAAAAAAAAAAAAAATGTAATTATAAATATACTTTTTTATGTAAATAAAGTACGATGGATATTCGCAATATTTATATTGTTAATAGATCTTGCGGTATAAATCGAATTACAGGGTCGTTTGGTTAATTAGCGGTAGGTGACGATTAAAAATAATAAAAAATAAGAATTTCAGCTCGTCGAATGTTCGCAGTAAAAAATTATCGTTTAGAATATTCTTTCGAACGATATAGAGTTAATTAATTTTCTTAAAAATTTATCTCCCCCTTTCCCCTCCCCATCACCGCTAAAACTTTCACCAAAATGATGAATATTTAATTCTTTCTGTTTTCTTTCTTTTTTTGTTTTGGTCAGTGCTCGGGATTATATATATTAGGCTGCCTTCGATCAACCACCATTCAATCATCCTCTCTCCGTTATCTAGCACTATAATTAAAATTAAAGGAAGGAAAATAAATCTAGGATGGGCTTGCATTAGCATTTGTATGAATTAGCACTTTGGAAAAGTAGGGCAGTGAACTATTAAAAGTGACGTATAATCACGCGCCCTGAGCACTTGATTCGCCGCTTAATGAACAACTTAATAAGCCCCGTTGAGAATGTGGTCGCCGATTTTAAAAAGCCAAACGAAAGCCGTACAAAGCCCCGCCCGCCATGTCGTCTTACACTAATAATTCAATAGACAATAAATCAATACTCACGAGTGAAAAAACAAGCCTTCGGTAGTCGCACTAAAAAGGAGAAGCATCAGGTAGCAGCAGAGAAGCTGCAAAAGAAATGAAGCAAAGCGAGTACCATCATTGTCTGCGTCACTGAGGCGCTGCTCGCGCGTTACGTGTGTGAGCGTGTTTTAGGGCGAGTGTGCGCGTGTGCGTGTGTGGGTGCGTGAGCGCGAGGTCTCGCGGTGGTTGCTGTTGTTTTTGGAGACGTTCGTGTAGGTGTGCTTGCGCGCGCAGGTAAAACGAAGCGGAGCGTTGGCTTTTAGGCGAACGTCCGGATTTATTACACTTGTCGGTGGGCATGTCCTCATGTTGACGTTCTCGGCTGCCTAGGATGCTAGCGACGACGAGGATGTCCCAGTTCCCTGATCTCCTAATGCCACCACGTGCAAATGCATAACAAACTGAGCCCCACGAGGTAGCGAGTTCGCTTTATAACCGATCGCCCTCTCGACTAGCTCTCCTCTTCCTCTCGCGCGACTTCCCCCACGCCCGCCTCCTAGACCCCACCCCCCATGGTCAATCGCACTTTCCGTTTGACCCGTGTCTCCTGTCCCGGACGTCGATCTCCGAATGACCGGCCAGCAGCCGCGTCTTACGTATAAGAGGCCGACGAGGTTTGCCGGCTGTTAGTTTATCCCCGACGGATCTTCCACGGGATCTCTCACTCTCACTCTCACACTCTCTCTCTCTCACTCTCTCTCTCTCTCTCTCTCTCTCTCTCTCTCTCTCTCTCTCCCGCTGTCCGTCTGTCTGTCGAGCCGAGGTCATTGTCGTTCGGGCGAGTCATTCGGTGCACTTGGACTTTGCGAGAGTGCGGCTGCCGCCGATCTTACGGAAATTCTCCTCCAAGTGACTCGGCTCGTTTGACACTCGTCTTAGGTCGTCGGCTGGCATGTTCTGCCCACACCGGTGCACTCATGTTTAATGCCGTGGTTGGCCAAGTTATAACGTATGGCGTGGCAATAATGTTTAAAGCGCTTGGATTTTCGTGTTCGCGATGTTTATGAGAGTCTTGAAAGGGTTCCCCGTGCGAAGTGGTGCTACGGAAATTGCTGCGTTTCGAGAACTTTTGATTATTGGTAACGGTAGTTGGTTGGTTGGTTGGTTGGTTGGTTGGTTGGTTGGTTGGTTGGTTGATTGGTTGGTTGATTGGTTGATTGGTTGATTGGTTGATTGGTTGATTGGTTGATTGGTTGATTGGTTGATTGGTTGATTGGTTGATTGGTTGATTGGTTGATTGGTTGATTGGTTGATTGGTTGATTGGTTGATTGGTTGATTGGTTGATTGGTTGATTGGTTGATTGGTTGATTGGTTGATTGGTTGATTGGTTGATTGGTTGATTGGTTGATTGGTTGATTGGTTGATTGGTTGATTGGTTGATTGGTTGATTGGTTGATTGGTTGATTGGTTGATTGGTTGATTGGTTGATTGGTTGATTGGTTGATTGGTTGATTGGTTGATTGGTTGATTGGTTGATTGGTTGATTGGTTGATTGGTTGATTGGTTGATTGGTTGATTGGTTGATTGGTTGATTGGTTGATTGGTTGATTGGTTGATTGGTTGATTGGTTGATTGGTTGATTGGTTGATTGGTTGATTGGTTGATTGGTTGGTTGATTGGTTGGTTGATTGGTTGATTGGTTGATTGGTTGATTGATCGATTGATGGATCGATTCATTGGTTGATTGGTTGATTGGTTGTTGTTGAATTTTTAATCTTAAATTATTATTTGCTGAAGTATCAGGTTCTTTGTATATTCCGTATCTTGCGAGCTTTTAAATGCAAATTTACGAGCATTCGAACAAATAACTTTTAACACGGGATTAATGTACTTTTAATCATTCTTGTTCGCTTGTTTCATTGGATTTTCCCATTCGAGTGTGCTAATTATTTTATTGGTGAAGCAGCATTGATTATTGCAATTGAAGAGATCGTCAAGGGCTCGATAATACAAAGAGTTTTCCGTATCGAATTCAGGAGAAATCTAAAGTACGCGAAACTCTGGTAATTGAATAAATTTACGTTAACATAGTAGAAGAAGAAAAAACATACATACGAGTAAGTAAATTATATCGGTTATTTTGGCTTTGGTTTTGATTTTTCGTTGTGTTTGATTTTGTTTCCAATATCGACCACTAAAGGTTAAAATGTCTATCTTCCATACGATTATCCATACGATACCAGTAAATTTATATATTTATTCGTCTAATAAAATAAGTATTAAAATTATTAAGGACTGCACTTTCTTGTGCTCCAAAAGTGAAAACATTGCATTGGAGAAGGATGTAAATTACAGTTTGCATAAGAGGAGCCACAACATTTTAGTCCATGCGCACGGGAAATTGAAAATAAATTCTACATAAGCTTTCATTAGACTCGTAGGCTAGCCAAAATAAAACAAACATAATGAAAATGAAGATTATTGGGCTTCGTGTCAATGTCAAAGTGATTCGTATGTTATTTTCCATCTTAATTCCTAGGCTACTTCCACTCTTCGTTAAGCCCACATAAATTAAGCTTGACATATCAAAAATGACTGTTAGTCATGCATTAACTAGACGTATAATGGATTATTTATAAAACTAGTGAAAAAAGCGTTTTAGTGGCACAATGAACTCTGATGATTCGATTCGATGGGAACTTTCTCGTTTGAGCAACCATCTGAATTCTTTGTTTTTTTTTTCTTTTTCCACTCATCGCTTTGAAAAGAGAAAACATATAACTAGACGTCACTAGCCGTTATTGTATGCATGACCTTACATTATACAGAGTCGAATGAACCTACAATAAAAGCAAGTATTATTTGAATAAAGATACGAGTCATAATGTATGCTAAGAAAATAAAATTAGTTCTTGATACAAGTAAATAAATTACAAATTATTAAATAGGATTTTCTAATAAGACCCCGAGCAGGCTCAGGATGATGCGCGTATTAATATTATTATAATTGCAGGCATTTAATTGAATAATTAATTTTACTTCCTTTGTAAGATAGTGTGATGTAATTGTGACCATGTTATAGTTAATGAGAAATTTTGGATTAAACGATTACAATAATTGATAACGTGTATTTGATATTTACACTGCTAAAAGTTTTGGTGAAAGTTGACATTAGTAGAGTAAAAACTCGCTCTACCATAATGATTTCTGGGCTATATAAGCATATCGACTATAATGTGTGAAAACCGGTCTTTGTATTATAACTACTCTTACTATTATCAACTTTCTAAAATATAAAAAAAAAAAAAAAAAAAAAAATATATATATATATATATATAGATATATATATAAACCCTATTAATTACTTTACCGTTATTTCATATCATCATTTTTCATAAAAAAAAAAATATTCAAAATTTTGACGTAATGAAAAATCATTTTACGACTCAACGAATATTATTGTGCTTAAACATTGCGTATGGAATTTTTCAATCAATTTCTACATCGAACTATTATCCACATTAAACGTACTTACTCGACGAGAAGTAATTTATAATACTATAACTTTGTTATTTCATCATTTTTTATCATAATTTTCCTATCCACGTTACATTAATTTCCTATTACACTGTCGGCAAAATAACTATGTACTTACAGCAGAAACTTATTTGTAAATCTTATGATAATCCATTTTGCATTCGCACATTTTATTGAAAATTACTTTAAATTATTTCTTTACTGTGCACACCGCCCCTATTAATTGTATAAAATATTTCAAAATACATAAGGCATATTAATGTTTTTCATATGTTTCAATGACATTTGCATTTTACTTCTTACGTTTTTACACAGGATTATCAATCACTGTATTTTGGCCGAAGTTGGTAATTGAAAATATTAATGAGATATATAATTGAAAAGCATAATGAAAGTCAAAGAAATAATTATTAATTGATATACCGTAGGCAGGAGCGTATTCAAATAATAAGAATTGCCATTTCTTCTATCTTGTTATTGCACAGCCGTTAAATAATTTGGATTTGCGTAGTTGACGCCAACATTCCGAGCCATGCCGTTATTAAAAGTTCAGTGGCTAAACTTGTAAATATAAAAAGTACCGCATCGATTGAAAAAGCTGAAATTGTAGTAAATATGACTCTCCTCGTTCCAATTACCAGCAGCATTTTTATAGCATAGGAACGAATAGTGATATTAATGGTCGAGTTAAGTATGGCTATGAACCATATACAAATTCCTTGAAATCTCGTTCTCCATTATCAGCTTTAAAAAAGCTTCGCTCAATCAGCTCACGGTGAGTCGAGTGCGATAACGAAGGCTTTCGGCACGGGCGCCAAATAGAAAAAGAATAAGCGTCGGTGATGGAGGAGGAGGAGTAGGGGGAGGAGGAGGAGGGGGAGGAGGAGGTGGTGGTGGTGGTGGTAGTGGTTGAGTAGGTATTAGAGGAGAAACCTCGCGTCGGAGGCGCTCATCGAAATGCCAACGGGACGCGTACGTAAGAAAGAGAAAGTCGGGGATGTACCCGTACAATGGGATTAAGGTCGGACGCACGGCAGACCCTTGCGGACCGGACGTGCGAATTCACACATGCGCGGCAAAGCGGGGGCGTTATTAAATAAGCAGCCGTCCTCGGCACTCATTTATTTTTGCAGCTGTCCGGAAGGAGCTTGCGGTCAATTAACGCCCGGGGATTTTAAAATAAACACTTGTTAACGCTACTTAAAACAAAAGTTCAGCCCGGCGCTTTATCGAATTAGCCACGGAGGACTCACTCGTCTCCTTCCCGTCCCCCGTTGCCATTAGCACGATCGCCATCGCCACCATCACCACCACCGCCACCAACACGAAGACACGCGCGCCAGCTACCGACCGACCCTCTTGCTGCCTTTTCCGCCGGTACTTTCCACCCCCATTGGCATTGATTAATAACGCGGCCTCGGTGGATGACGATTGCGCGCCAAGTCGGCGTCCATTGGGAATTCGGAGCATACGCAATCGGACGACGATTAACATAATACACCGTTCCTGTACAACGGCCCGACGCCGTATTTAAGTATTCACCGCGCGCAACGCACCCACCCAACTCCGCCCCCGGGCACGAATTCACTTTGCCCCGCGCGTCTTTTGTAGCCCACCGTCGCGGTAAATAAAAGGAACAAAAAGAGATGCCAAAGACGCTCGTCATTAGCAGGGATAATGAAATATCAAGTTCAGGCACTTCAAAGAGTCGTGCTTGCGCTCGCGCTCGCAGTACCGCGTCGGAGCTTGGAATAATAATTGTGCAGGAATTAGCTTTAACAGTTAAGAGGTAAAACTGGTGAAATTTGCTTTATTATTCCTCTCCTCTTATTTAATAAAATGACTTTTATAAACATGGAGCTCAAAATTTTCCGCATCCTGCGCTCTCTCTCTCTCTCTCTCTCTCTCTACCATATTATGCAGTATATTGAGAGTTTGTTGTTTGATTGTTTTGTCCTTTTGTTCATTTGTTTATTTTTCTTTCTTTCCTTGTTTTTTAATTTTCGACGATTTCAAAGTGGGGGCGGGGCGGGAATAAATT